AAATTCCTGCTCCTGGGGGGTTTTTAGGGATGGATCCCAAATTTTCCTGCTCCTGGGGGTTTTTTTCCCCAAAAAATTCCATTTATTTGAAATAATTATTTGGATTTTTCGTGTCCTTTTTGCTTCCCAAAATTCCCTTTTTTTCCCTCTTTTTCCTCCCCAAAATTCCTGGATTTTCCTCCCCAAAATTCCCATTTTTTTCCCCCAAAAAATCCCTTTTCTTTCCCTTTTTTCCCCCAAAAATTCCTTCATTTCCCTCCCAAAAATTCCCTCTTTTTTCCTTCATTTTTTCCCCCCCAAAATTCCTTCATTTCCCTCCCAAAATTCCCTTTTTTCCCCCTCTTTTTCCTCCCAAAATTCCCTCTTTTTTCCTTCATTTTTTCCCCCAAAAATTCCTGGATTTTCCTCCCAAAATTCCTTCATTTTCCTTCATTTTCCCCCAAAATTCCTGGATTTTCCCTCAAAAATTCCTGGATTTTCCCCCAAAATTCCTTCATTTCCCCCAAAATTCCCTTTTTTCCCTCTTTTTCCCCCAAAATTCCTTCTTTTTCCCCCAAAATTTCCTTTTTTTCCCTCTTTTCCCCCAAAATTCCTTTTTTCTCCTCCCAAAATTCCTATTTTTTCCCTCCTTTTTTCCCCCAAAATTCCTCATTTTTTCCCTTTTTTCCCCAAAAATTCCCATTTTTCCCCCCAAAATTCCTGGATTTCCCTCCCAAAAATTCCTTCCTTTTCCTTCATTTTCCCTCCCAAAATTCCCCTTTTTTTCCCCTTTTTTTCCCCCAAATTCCCTTTTTTCCTCAAAAAATTCCTCTCTTTTTCCTTCATTTTTTCCCCCAAAATTCCTTCATTTCCCTCCCAAAATTCCCTTTTTTCCCCCTCTTTTTCCTCCCAAAATTCCTTCCTTTTCCTCCCAAAATTCCCATTTTTCCCCAAAAAAATCCCTTTTTTTTCCCCAAAAAAATTCTCATTTTTCCTCAAAAAATTCTCATTTTTCCCTCCCAAAATTCCCCTTTTTTTCCCCCCAAAATTCCCTTTTATCCCCCAAAAATTCCCATTTTTTCCCCAAAAATTCCCTTTTTTTCCCAAAAATTCCCATTTTTCCCTTTTTCCCCAAAATTTCATTTTTTCCCCAAAATTCCTTTTTTCCCAAAATTCCCATTTTTCCCCCTAAATTTCCCCCTCCTCTTTCCCCTCCGACTTCTTCCCAGACTTTGGAATTCTCAGGGAATTCCCAACGCTTGGAAAACCTCCGGAAATTCACGGAATATTCCCTGCAATTCCGAGCTTTCAACCGGCACGGGGCGGGAATTCCATCGGAAAAATTGACCATCACCACCCTTTCTGATGGTAAATTGGGGAATTTTGGGAATTCTGGGAATTCTGGGAATTCTGGGAGGGGATTGGAGGGGAAAATTGGGAATTTTGAGGTTTTTTTGGGGGAATTTTTGGGAATTTCTTGGGGATTTTGGGAGTTTTTTGGGGAAAATTAAGGATTTTGGGGGAGAATTCCTAAAATTTGGGATTTTCTTTGGAATTTTTGGATTTTCTTGGGGAATTTTGGGATTTTTCTTTGGGAATTTGGGGATTTTGGGGTTTTTTGGGGGGATTTTTTGGGATTTTCTTTGGGAATTCCTGGAATTTTTGGGAATTTTGGGATTTTCTTTGGAAATTTTGGGATTTTTTTGGGAATTTTGGGTTTCAAATCCCAATTTTTTTGGGCATTCCTGGGAATTTTGGGGGGGTTTTTTTGGAAAATTGGGAATTTTGGGGATTTTTAGGGGAATTTTGGGGTTTTTTTTGGGAATTTTGGGATTTTCTTTGGGATTTTTAGGGGAATTTTGGGATTTTTTTGGGAATTTGGGGATTTTCTTTGGAAATTTTGGGTTTTTTTGGGGGGATTTTTTGGGAATTTTGGGGGTTTTTTGGGAATTTTTTTTGAATTTTGGGATTTTCTTTGGGAATTCTGGGAATTCTGGGAATTCTGGGAGGGGGAAGGAGGGGATTTGAGGGGGGTTTTTTTTGAATTTTTGGGATTTTTTGGGGGAATTTTGGGATTTTCTTTGGGAATTTTGGGATTCAAATCCCATTTTTTGGGGGAAATTCTGGGAATTCCTGGGAATTTGGGGATTTTCTTTGGGAATTCTGGGAATTCTGGGAATTCTGGGAGAGGGAAGGAGGATTTGAGGGGAAAATTGGGAATTTTTGGGGTTTTTTTGGGAATTTTGGGTTTTTTTGGGGAATTTTGGGGTTCAAATCCCAATTTTGGGGGGAATTTTGGGGGGAATTCCTGGGAATTTTGGGATTTTCTTTGGGAATTTTGAGTTCCAAATCCCAATTTTTTGGGGAATTCCTGGAATTCCTGGAATTCCCACAAATCCCTAAAAACCTTTCAATGCAAATTCCACCTGGATTTTCCCTCTAAATCCACAAAAACCCGGGAAAAACCCCTGGAATTTTGAGAATTTTGGGAATTTTGGGAATTTGGGGAGGGGGGAGGGGAATTCTTCCCAAATTTTCCATTTTAATGGGAATTTTTTCCTGATTTTTTGGTTTTTATTCCCAGTTCCCAGCGCTCCACCCCGGAATCTTTCCTTGGAAGTGGTGAATTCCCAGGTAAGTCTTGGAATTCCTTGGAATTCCAAGGATTTTTCCCACTTTTTTAGGGTCAAAAAATTCCCAATTTTAGGGAAAATCCTGCCTGGAATTCCAAGGAATTTTCCCACTTTTTCAGGACTAAAAAATCCCCAAATTTAGGGAATTTTTGTCTGGAATTCCAAGGGATTTTCCCACTTTTTTAGGGTCAAAAAATTCCCAAATTTTGGGAATTCCTGCCTGGAATTCCAAGGAATTTTCCCACTTTTTTTGGCTCATAAAATTCCCAAATTTTGGGGAATTCCTGCCTGGAATTCCAAGGGATTTTCCCACTTTTTTAGGACCAAAAAATTCCCAATTTTTGGGGAATTCCTGCCTGGAATTCCAAGGGATTTTCCCACTTTTTTAAACCCCAAAAATTCCCAAATTTAGGGAATTTTTGTCTGGAATTCCAAGGAATTTTCCCACTTTTTCAGGGTCAAAAAATTCCCAAATTTTAGGAAATTCCTGCCTGGAATTCCAAGAAATTTTCCCAATTTTCCAGAGCCAAATTTAGGGAATTCCTGCCTGGAATTCCAAGGAATTTTCCCACTTTTTTAAAGCCAAAAAATTCCCAAATTTGGGGAAATTCCTGCCTGGAATTCCAAGGAATTTTCCACCTTTTTTAAAGCCAAAAAGTTCCCAAATTTTAGGGAATTCCTGCCTGGAATTCCAAGGAATTTTCCTACTTTTTCAGGGTCAAAAAATTCCGAAATTTTGGGAATTCCTGCCTGGAATTCCAAGGAATTTTCCCACTTTTTTTGGCTCATAAAATTCCCAAATTTTGGGGAATTCCTGCCTGGAATTCCAAGGAATTTTTCCATTTTTTTTGGACTAAAAAAATCCCAAATTTTGGGGAATTCCTGCCTGGAATTCCAAGGAATTTTCCCCCCTTTTTTCCAGGATTAAAAAATTCCCAAATTTAGGGAAATTCCTGCCTGGAATTCCAAGGAATTTTCCCACTTTTTTAGGACTAAAAAATTCCCAAATTTTGGGGAATTTTTGCCTGGAATTCCAAGGAATTTTCCCACTTTTCCAAAGCCAAATTTTAGGGAATTCCTGCCTGGAATTCCAAGGAATTTTCCCACTTTTTTAAAGCCAAAAAATTCCCAAATTTAGGGAATTCCTGCCTGGAATTCCAAGGGATTTTTTCCCTAAAATTCAAAAATTCCCCAAAATTCCCGGGTTTTTTTGGGATATTCTAAGAAAAAAATTCCAAGAATAATTTTCCCCTAAAAATAGGAAAAAAAACCCCTAAAAATCCAAAATAAATCGAATTTTTCCACTTTTTTAACTCATTTTTTCCCCTAAAATTCCAAAAAAATTCCCGGAATTTTTTTGGATATTCCAAGACAAAAATTTAGGGACAAATTAATCTTTTAAATTTCCCTTTAAAAACCGGGAAAAAAACCCCCTAAAAATCCCCAAATAAATCGAATTTTTTCACTTTTTTTAACCCATTTTTTCCCCAAAAATTCCCAAAAAATTCCCAAAAATTCCCGGTTTTGGGATATTCCAAGAAAAAAATTCCAGGAAAATTTAGGATTAATTTTCCCTTTAAAAACCCAGAAAAAAACCCCAAAAATTCCAAAATAAATCGAACTTTTTCCCTTTTTTTAACCCATTTTTCCACAAAAAAATCCCCCAAAATTCCCAAAAATTCCCGGAATTTTTTTTTGATATTCCAAGAAAAAAATTCCAGGAAAATTTAGGATTAATTTTCCCTGGAAAAAAACCCAAAAATCCCAAAATAAATCGAATTTTTTCACTTTTTTAACCCATTTTTTCCCCAAAAAATTCCAAAAAAATTCCCAAAAATTCCCAAAAATTCCCGGGTTTTTTTTGGGATATCCCAAGAAAAAAATTCCAGGAAAATTTAGAATTAATTTTCCCTTTAAAACCCATAAAAAATCCCCTAAAATTCCAAAATAAATCGAATTTTTTCATTTTTAACCCATTTTTTTTCAAAAATTCCAAAAAAATTCCCAAAAATTCCTGGATTTTTTTTGGGATATTCCAAGAAAAAAATTCCAGGAAAAATCAAGATTAATTTTCCCCTAAAAATAGGAAAAAAAACCCCTAAAAATCCCAAAATAAATCAAATTTTTTCACTTTTTTTACCCCATTTTTTCCCCAAAAAAATTCCGAAAAAATTTCTGGAATTTTGGGGATATTCCAAGAAAAAAATTCCAGGAAAATTTAGGATTAAATTTTCCCTTTAAAAACCCCAAAAAAACCCTCAAAAATCCCAAAATAAATCGAATTTTCCCATTTTTTAACCCATTTTTTCCCCAAAAATTTCCCCAAAAATTCCCAAAAATTTCCGGAATTTTTTTTGGATATTCCAAGAAAAAAATTCCAGGAAAATTTAGGATTAATTTTCTCTTTAAAACAGCAAAAAACCCCCCTAAAAATCCAAAATAAATTGAATTTTTTCATTTTTTTAACCCATTTTTTCCCCAAAAACATCCCAAAAAATTCCCAAAAATTCCCGAGTTTTTTTGGGATATTCCAAGACAAAACTTCCAGGAAAATTTAGATTTAATTTTTCCCTTTAAAAACCAAAAAAACCCCTAAAAAATCCCAAAATAAATCGAATTTTTCCCCTTTTTTTAACCCATTTTTCCCAAAAAATTTTTGGGAATTTTTTGGGATATTCCAAGAAAAAAATCCCAGGAAAAATCAGGATTAATTTTCCCGTAAAAATAGGGGGAAAAATCCCAAAAATCCCAAAATAAATTGAATTTTTCCCATTTTTTAACCCATTTTTTCCCCAAAAATTTCCCCAAAAATTCCCAAAAATTTCCGGAATTTTTTTTGGATATTCCAAGAAAAAAATTCCAGGAAAATTTAGGATTAAATTTCCCTTTAAAATCCCGGAAAAAAACCTCAAAAATTCCAAAATAAATTGAATTTTTTCACTTTTTTTAACCCATTTTTTCCCCAAAAAATCCCCAAAAAATTCCCCAAAAAATTCCCAAAAATTCCAGGAATTTTTTGGGATATTCCAAGACAAAAATTTAGGGACAAATCCATCTTAAATTTCCCTTAAAAAACAGCAAAAAAAACCCCTAAAAATCCAAAATAAATTGAATTTTTTCACTTTTTTTAACCCATTTTTTCCCCAAAAAAATCCCAAAAAATTCCCAAAAATTCCAGGAATTTTTGGGGATATTCCAAGAAAAAAATTCCAAGAATAATTTTCCCCTAAAAATAGGGAAAAAAACCCCTAAAAATCCCAAAATAAATCGAATTTTTTCACTTTTTAAACCTTTTTTTTCCCCCTAAAATTCCCAAAAATTCCCAAAAAATTCCCAAAAATTCCAGGAATTTTTGGGATATCCCAAGACAAAAATTCCAGGAAAATTTAGGATTCAAATTTCCCTTTAAAAACCCAGAAAAAAACTTCAAAAATTCCAAAATAAATCGAATTTTTTCACATTTTTAACCCATTTTTCCCCAAAAAAATCCCAAAAAATTCCCAAAAATTTCCGGTTTTTTGGGGGATATTCCAAGAAAAAATTCCAAGAATAATCAGGATTAAATTTAGGATTAAAATTTCCCTTTAAAACCCATAAAAAAATCCCCAAAAATTCCAAAATAAATCGAATTTTTCCCCATTTTTTAACCCATTTTTTCCCCAAAAATTCCCAAAAAATTCCCAGAATTTTTGGGATATTCCAAGACAAAAATTCCAAGAATAATCAGGATTAATTTTCCCCTAAAAATAGGGGAAAAAATCAAAAAAATCCCAAAATAAATCGAATTTTTTCACTTTTTTTAACCCATTTTTTTTCCCAAAAAATTCTAAAAAAATTCCCAAAAAATTCCCAAAAATTCCAGGAATTTTTTGGGGATATTCCAAGAAAAAAATTCCAAGAATAATTCTCCCATAAAATTAGAAAAAAAAAAAAAAATCCAAAATAAATCGAATTTTTCCCCTTTTTTTAACCCATTTTTTCCCAAAAAATTCCCAAAAAATTCCCAAAAATTCCTGGATTTTTTTGGGACATTCCAAGAAAAAAAATTCCAGGAAAATTTAGGATTAATTTTCCCTTAAAAACCAGCAAAAAACCCTAAAAATCCCAAAATAAATCGAATTTTTTCACATTTTTAACCCATTTTTTTTTTCAAAAATCCCCCCAAAATTCCCAAAATTCCCAGGAATTTTTTGGGATATTCCAAGAAAAAAATTCCAGGAATAATCAGGATTAATTTCCCCCTAAAAATAGGGAGGAAAATCAAAAAAATCCCAAAATAAATTGAATTTTTTACTTTTTTAACTCATTTTTTCCCAAAAAATTCCAAAAAAAATCCCAAAAATTCCAGGAATTTTTTGGGATATTCCAAGAAAAAAATTCCAGGAAAAATCAGGATTAATTTCCCCCTTAAAAACAGCAAAAAAACCCCTAAAAATCCAAAATAAATCGAATTTTTTCCCTTTTTTAACCCATTTTTTCCCCAAAATTCCCAAAAATTCCCAAAATTCCCAATTTTTTTTATCCCAGAGCATCAAAGTGAGTTGGTTGCCCCCTCCTGAAGGATCCCAGAACGGATTCCTGACCGGATATCGCATCAAACACCGGAAAATCGACCGGAAAGGGGAGATGGAAACGTTGGAACCCAACAATCTTTGGTACCTCGTGACGGGTAAGGAGGAAAAAATTCCAAGGTTTTTTTTGGGAATTTTAAGGTTGGGGGTGAAAAGGGAATTTTGGGGGATAAAAAGGGAATTTTTGGGGATTTTTTGGGTTAAAATTTGATTTTTTTTCGATTTTTTATTCAAAATATTCCAATTTTTTCAACTTTTTTTAATAAAAAAATTCAAATTTTTTCCATTTTTTGGAGTAAAAAATTTAATTTTTCAAATTTTTTATTAAGATATTCATTTTTTCAAATTTTAAAATTAAAAAATTTGATTTTTTTCGATTTTTTTCAGGTAAAAATCTGATTTTTCTGGGGTTTTTTTATTAAAATATTCCAATTTTTTCGATTTTTTATTAAAAATATTTCATTTTTTTTCGATTTTTTAAATCAAAATATTTCAAATTTTTTGAATTTTAAAATTAAAAATCCATTTTTTCGAATTTTTGGGGTTAAAATTTGATTTTTTGGTTTTTTTTTTGATGAAAATATTCCAAATTTTTTCGGATTTTTTTAAATAAAAAAATTGAATTTTTTCGCTTTTTTGAGGGGAAATAAATGAGGGAAAAAAGGGAAAAAATGAGGGAAAAATAAAGGAAAAATTTTTGGGGAAAAAAAGGGAAAAATTGATGGGAAAATAAAGGAAAAATGGAGGGAAAAATTGGGAAAAAAGATGGAAAAAAAAGGGAAATAAATGAGGAAAAAATAGGGAAAAATAAAGGAAAAATAAAGGAAAAATGGAGGGAAAAATAAAGGAAAAATGGATGGAAAAATGGGGAAAAAAGATGGAAAAAAGGGGAAATTCATGGAAAAAAATTGGGAAAATTTGGGGAAAGAAAGGGAAAATTGATGGAAAAATAAAGGAAAAATTTGGGGGAAAAAAGGGAAAAAAGGAGGGAAAAATAAAGGAAAAATTGAGGGAAAAATGGGGGAAATAAATGAGGAAAAAATAGGAAAAATTACAGGAAAAATAAAGAAAAAATTGAGGGGAAAAAGGGAAAATTGATGGAAAAAAATTAGGGAAAAATCACAGAAAAATAAAGGAAAAATTTTTGGGGAAAAAAAGGGAAAAATTGATGGGAAAATAAAGGAAAAATGGAGGGAAAAATGGGGAAAAAAGATGGAAAAAAAGGGAAATAAATGAGGAAAAAATAGGGAAAAATAAAGGAAAAATAAAGGAAAAATGGAGGGAAAAAAAGGAAAAATGGATGGAAAAAAAGAGAAAAAAGATGGAAAAAAGGGGAAATAAATGAGGAAAAAAAGGGAAAATTGATGGAAAAAATTGGGAAAAAATCACAGAAAAATAAAGAAAAATGGGGGAAAAATAAAGGAAAAATGGGGAAAAAAAGGGAAATAAATGAGGAAAAAAGGGGAAATTGATGGGAAAAAATAGGGAAAAATCACAGAAAAATAAAGAAAAATTTGTGGAAAAAAGGGAAAATTGATGGGAAAAATAAAGGGAAAATTACAGGAAAAATTGGTGGGAAAATAAAGGAAAAGTAAAGGAAAAATGGGGAAAAAACATGGGAAAAAAGGGAAATAAATGAGGAAAAAATAGGGAAAAATAAAGGAAAAATAAAGGAAAATTGATGGAAAAAAAGGGAAAATTGATGGGAAAAAATTAAGGAAAAATCACAGTAAAATAAAGAAAAAATGGGGAAAAATAAGGGAAAAATTGATGGAAAAAAGGGGAAATAAATGAGGAAAAAAAAGGGAAAAAATGAGGGAAAAAAAGGGAAAATTGATGGAAAAAAAGGGAAAAATAAAGGAAAATTGATGGAAAAAAAGGAAAAATTGATGGAAAAAATTGGGAAAAAATCCCAAAAAAATAAAGAAAATTGGGAATAAAAAAAGGAAAAATGGATGGAAAAAAAGAGAAAAAAGATGGAAAAAAAGGGAAATAAATGAGGAAAAAAAGGGAAAATTGATGGAAAAAAATTGGGGAAAAATCACAAAAAAATAAAAAAAATTTGGGATAAAAAAAGGAAAATTAGGGAGTAAAAAGGAAAATTAGGGGGAAAAAGGAAAATGATGAAAAAAATGAATTTTTCCCGGTTTTTCTGAGGTCATTCCCGGTTTTTTTTCCCCCCCAGGGTTGGAGAGGAGCAGCCAGTACGGCTTCCAGGTGGCGGCGATGACGGTCAATGGATCGGGGCCATTTACGGAGTGGGCGATGGCTGAGACGCCGGAAAATGACCTGGATGGTGAGGGGAAAATGGGGAATAAAGGGGGAAAATTGGGGGAATAAATGGGGAAAAAATGGGGAAAATTGAAGGAAAAATTGGGAATAAATGGGGAAAATTGATGGGGGAAAATCGGGAATAAATGGGGGGAAAATTGGGAAATAAATGGGAATAAATGGGGAAATAAATGGGGAAAAAATGGGGAATAAATGGGGAAATAAATGGGGAAAAATGGGGAATAAATGGGGAAAAAATGGGAAAATTTGGTGGGAAAAAGGGAAATAATTGGGGAATAAATGGGGAATAAATGGGGAAAAAATGGGGAAATAAATGGGGAAAATTGATGGGGGAAATGGGGAAAAATGGGGGAAAATTGATGGGAAAAATGGGTGGGAAAAAGGGGGAAATAAATGGGAAAAAATGGGGAATAAATGGGGAAATAAATGGGGAAATAAATGGGGAAATAAAGGGGGAAAAATGGGGAAATAAATGGGAAAAATGGGAAAATTGATCGGAAAAATGGGTGGAAAAATGGGGGAATAAATGGGGAAAAATGGGGGAATAAATGGGGGAAAATGGGGAATAAATGGGGAAAATTGATGGGAAAAATGGGTGAAAAAAGGGGAAAATAAATAGGAAAAAATGGGGAATAAATGGGGAAATAAATGGGGGAAAATGGGGAATAAATGGGGAAAATTGATGGGAAAAATGGGTGGGAAAAAGGGGGAAAAAGTGGGAAAAATGAGGGAAAAAATGGGGAAAAATGATGGAAAAAATGGGGAATAAATGGGGAATAAATGGGAAAAAATGGGGAATAAATGGGGAAATAAATGGGGATAAATGGGGAATAAATGGGGAAAATTGATGGGAAAATGGGTGGGAAAAGGGGGGAATAAATGGGGAAAAATGGGGAATAAATGGGGAATAAATGGGGAAAAAATGGGGAAAAAATGGGGAAAAAAAGGAAAAATTGAAGGAAAAATAAAGGAAAAATTGATGGGAAAAGGGGGAAATAAATGGGGAAAAATGGGGGAAAATTGATGGGAAAATTGATGGGAAATAAAGGAAAAATTGATGGGGAAAAATGGGAGGAAAAAGGGGGAAAATGGGGAAATAAATGAGAAAAAAAGGGAAAAATTGATGGGAAAAATGGATGGAAAAAAAGGAAAAATTGATGGGGAAAAATGGGGAAAATTGATGGAAAAAGGGGGAAATAAATGGGGAAAAAAAGGGAAAAATTGATGGGAAAAATGGATGGAAAAAGGGGGGAAATAAATGGGAAAAATGGGGAAAAAATGGGGGAATAAATGGGGAAAAATGGGGAAAATTGATGGAAAAAATTGAAGGAAAAATTGATGGGAAAAATTGATGGAAAAAGGGGGGAAATAAATGGGAAAAAATGGGGGAAAATGGAGGAAATAAATGGGGAAATAAATGGGGAATAAATGGGGAAATAAATGGGGAAAAATGGGGAAATAAATGGGGAAATAAATGGGGAAATAAATGGGGGAAAAACGGAAAAAATGATGGGAAAAATGGGTGGAAAAATGGGGAAATAAATGGGGGAATAAATGGGAAATAAATGGGGAAAATTGATGGGAAAATGGGTGGGAAAAGGGGGGAATAAATGGGGAAAAATGGGGAATAAATGGGGAAAAAAGGGGGAAAATTGATGGGAAAATTGATGGAAAAAAAAGGAAAAATTGATGGGAAAGAATTGGGAAAAATTGATGGGAAAAAAGGGGGAATAAATGGGGAAAAAAAGGAAAAATTGATGGAAAAAAGGGGGATAAATGGTAAAAAGGGGAAAATAAATGGGGAAAATGGGGAAAATTGATGGAAAAACAAAGGAAAAAATAATGGGGAAAAAAAGGAAAAATTGGGTGGAAAAAAGGGAAAATAAATGGGAAAAAAAGGGAAAATTTGATGGGAAAAAGGGAAATAATTGGGGAATAAATGGGGGAAAAATGGGGAAATAAATGGGGAAAAAAGGGGAAATAAATGGGAAAAGGGGGGAAAATTGATGGAAAAATGGGGAAATAAATGGGAAAATAAATGGGAAAAAAGGAGGAAAAAAGGGGAAAAATGGGAAAATAAATGGGGAAAAAAATGGGAAAAAATTGGGAAAAAAAGGGAAATAAATGGGGGAAAAAAAGGAAAATTGATGGGGGAAAAAAGGGAAATAATTGGGGAATAAATGGGGGAAAAATGGGGAAAAAAAAGGGGAAATAAATGGGAAAAAAATGGGGAAATAAATGGAAAAAAATGGGAAAAATGATGGAAAAAAAGGAAAAATTGACGGCAAAAAATGGGGAAAAAACCCGGAATGGGGATCCAATCCCATTTTTTTCCCCCTCCTTCCCATTCCCAGAATCCCAGGTGCCGGAACAGCCGGGTTCCCTCCAGGTGCTCCCCCTCTCCACGGGCATCGTGACGTCATGGACCCCCCCCCGGGGGGCGGGGGTGGCCGTGCGGGGTTACATCCTGGGCTACGGGGTGGGCAGCCCCTACGCCCACACCGTGAGGGTGGATGGCAAACAGAGGCACTACAGCATCCAGCAGTTGGGTGAGAGGGGGTTTCCTGGGATTTGGGGGGGTTTGGGAGGGGTTTGGGGGGTTTGGGAGGGTTTGGGAGGGGTGGAAACCCCAAAAAGGTCCCAGAAATCCCATAAAAGTCCCATAGACCCCATAAATCCCATAAAGGTCCCAGAAATCCCATAAAGGTCCCATTGACCCCATAAAGATCCCATAGACCCCATAAAGGTCCCATAAATCCCATAAAGGTCCCATTGACCCCATAAAGGTCCCATAGATCCCATAGACCCCATAAATCCCATAAAGATCCCATAGACCCCATAAAGGTCCCAGAAATCCCATAAAGGTCCCATAAATCCCATAAAGGTCCCATAGACCCCATAAATCCCATAAAGGTCCCATAGACCCCATATGGCCCCATAAGGGTCCCATAAACCCCATAAAGATCCCATAGACCCCATAAAGGTCCCAGAAATCCCATAAAGGTCCCATAAACCCCATAAATCCCGTAAAGGTCCCATAAGTCTTATAGGACCCCAGAAACCCCATAAAGGTCCCATAAATCCCATAAAGGTCCCATAGACCCCATAAATCCCATAAAAGTCCCAGAAATCCCATAAAGGTCCCATAAACCCCATAGACCCCATAAAGGTCCCATAGACCCCACAAAGACCCCATAAAGCCCCTACGCCCACACCGTCAGGGTGGATGGCAAACAGAGGCACTACAGCATCCAGCAGCTGGGTGAGAGGGGATTTCCTGGGATTTGGGGGGTTTGGGAGGGGTGGAAACCCCAAAAAGGTCCCAGAAATCCCAAAAATCCCATAAAGATCCCATAAAGCCCCTACGCCCACACCGTCAGGGTGGATGGCAAACAGAGGCACTACAGCATCCAGCAGCTGGGTGAGAGGGGATTTGGGGGTTTGGGGTTTGGGAGGGATTTGGGGGGTTTGGGAGGGGTGGAAACCCCAAAAAGGTCCCAGAAATCCCAAAAATCCCATAAAGATCCCATAAAGCCCCTACGCCCACACCGTCAGAGTGGATGGCAAACAGAGGCACTACAGCATCCAGCAGCTGGGTGAGAGGGGATTTCCTGGGATTTGGGGGGGTTTGGGAAGGGTGGAAACCCCAAAAAGGTCCCAGAAATTCCAAAAATCCCATAAAGATCCCAGAAATCCCATAAAGGTCCCATAGATCCCAGAAATCCCATAAAGGTCCCATAAACCCCATAAAGGTCCCAGAAATCCCATAGAAGTCCTATAGGGTTCCATAAACCCCATAAGGTCCTATAGACCCCATAAATCCCATAAAGGTCCCATAGACCCCATAAAGATCCCAGAAATCCCATAAAGATCCCATAGACCCCATAAATCCCATAAAGGTCCCAGAAATCCCATAAAGATTCCATAGACCCCATAAACCCCATAAAGGTCCCAGAAATCCCATAAAGGTCCCAGAAATCCCATAAAGGTCCCAGAAATCCCATAAAGGTCCCATAGACCCCATAAAAGTCCCAGAAACCCCATAAATCCCATAAAAGTCCCATAAATCCCATAAAGGTCCCATAGAACCCATAAAAGTCCCATAGACCCCATAAAGGTCCCATTGACCCCATAAAGGTCCCATAGACCCCATAAAGGTCCCATAGACCCCATAAATCCCATAAAGGTCCCAGAAATCCCATAAAGGTCCCATAGACCCCATAAAGGTCCCATAGACCCCATAAATCCCATAAAGGTCCTATATGGTCCCATAAATCCCATAAAAGTCCCAGAAATCCCATAAAGGTCCCATAGACCCCATAAATCCCATAAAGGTCCCATAGACCCCATAAATCCCATAAAAGGTCCCATAAATCCCATAAAGGTCCCATAGAACCCATAAAGGTCCCATAAATCCCATAAAGGTCCCATTGACCCCATAAAGGTCCCATAGACCCCATAAAGGTCCCATAGACCCCATAAAGGTCCCATTGACCCCATAAAGGTCCCATAGACCCCATAAAGGTCCCATAGACCCCATAAAGGTCCCATAGACCCCATAAATCCCATAAAGGTCCCATAAACCCCATAAAGGTCCCATAGACCCCATAAATCCCATAAAGGTCCCAGAAACCCCATAAAGGTCCCATAGACCCCATAAATCCCATAAAGGTCCCAGAAACCCCATAAAGGTCCCATAGACCCCATAAATCCCATAAAGATCCCATAAAGCCCCTACGCCCACACCGTGAGGGTGGATGGCAAACAGAGGCACTACAACATCCAGCAGCTGGGTGAGAGGGGATTTCCTGGGATTTGGGAGGGATTTGGGGGGTTTGGGAGGGGTGGAAACCCCAAAAAGGTCCCAGAAATCCCATAAAGGTCCCATTGACCCCATAAAAGTCCCATTGACCCCATAAAGGTCCCAGAAATCCCATAAAGGTCCCAGAAATCCCATAAAGGTCCCATTGACCCCATAAAGGTCCCATTGACCCCATAAAGATCCCAGAAATCCCATAGAGATCCTATATGGTCCCATAGACCCCATAAAGATCCCATTGACCCCATAAATCCCATAAAGGTCCCATAAATCCCATAAAGACCCCATAAATCCCATAAAGGTCCCATAGACCCCATAAATCCCATAAAGATCCCATTGACCCCATAAAGGTCCCATAGACCCCATAAACCCCATAAAGGTCCCATAAATCCCATAAAGGTCCCATAGACCCCATAAATCCCATAAAGGTCCCATAGACCCCATAAAGGTTTCATTGACCCCATAAATCCCATAAACCCCATAAAGGTCCCATAGACCCCATAAATCCCATAAAGACCCCATAAAGCCCCTACACCCACACCGTGAGGGTGGATGGCAAACAGAGGCACTACAACATCCAGCAGCTGGGTGAGAGGGGATTTCCGGGGGTTTGGGGGGGTTTGGGAGGGGTGGAAACCCCAAAAAGGTCCCAGAAACCCCAAAAATCCCATAAAGATCCCATAAAGCCCCTACGCCCACACCGTCAGGGTGGATGGCAAACAGAGGCACTACAGCATCCAGCAGCTGGGTGAGAGGGGATTTACTGGGATTTGGGGGGGTTTGGGAGGGGTGGAAACCCCAAAAAGGTCCCAGAAATCCCATAAAGGACACATAGACCCCATAAATCCCATAAAGGTCCCAGAAATCCCATAAAGGTCCCAGAAATCCCATAAAGATCCCAGAAATCCCATAAAGGTCCCATAGAACCCATAAAGGTCCCATAAACCCCATAAAGGTCCCATAGACCCCATAAATCCCATAAGGTCCCAGAAATCCCATAAAGGTCCCAGAAATCCCATAAAGGTCCCAGAAACCCCATAAAGGTCCCATAGACCCCATAAATCCCATAAAGGTCCCAGAAATCCCATAAAGATCCCAAAAATCCCATAAAGGTCCCATAAATCCCATAAAAGTCCCATAAATCCCATAAAGGTCCCATTGACCCCATAAAGGTTCCATAGAACCCATAAATCCCATAAAAGTCCCACAAATCCCATAAAGGTCCCAGAAATCCCATAAATGTCCCATTGACCCCATAAAGGTCCCATAAATCCAATAAAAGTCCCAGAAATCCCATAAAGGTCCCATTGACACCATAAAAGTCCCATTGACCCCATAAAGGTCCCATAGACCCCATAAAGGTCCCATAGACCCCATAAAGGTCCCATAAATCCCATAAAGGTCCCATAAATCCCATAAAGGTCCCATAGACCCCATAAAGGTCCCATAGACCCCACATGAATTTTCCCTCAATTTCCCCTCAATTTCCCCTCAATTTCCCCTCAATTTCCCCTCAATTTCCCCTCAATTCTCCCTCAATTTCCCCTCAATTTCCCCTCAATTTCCCCTCAATTTTCCCTCAATTTCCCCTCAATTTACCCTCAATTTTCCCCTCAATTTCCCCTCAATTTCCCCTCAATTTCCCCTCAATTTTCCCTCAATTCTCCCTCAATTTCCCCTCAATTTCCCCTCAATTTCCCCTCAATTTCCCCTCAATTTCCCCTCAATTTTCCCTCAATTTCCCCTCAATTTCCCCTCAATTTCCCCTCAATTTTCCCTCAATTTCCCCTCAATTTTCCCTCAATTTTTCCCTCAATTTCCCCTCAATTTCCCCTCAATTTCCCCTCAATTTTCCCTCAATTTCCCCTCAATTTTCCCTCAATTTCCCCTCAATTTCCCCTCAATTTTCCCTCAATTTCCCCTCAATTTCCCCTCAATTTTCCCTCAATTTTCCCCTCAATTTCCCATGAATTTCCCATGACTTTTTTCCCATAAATTTCCCATAAATTTCCCCTCAATTTTCCCTCAATTCTCCCTCAATTTCCCTCAATTTCCCCTCAATTTCCCATGACTTTTTTCCCATAAATTTCCCATAAATTTCCCATGAATTTTCCCTGATTTTCCCTGAATTTTCCCTGATTTTTCCCTGAATTTTCCATGCCTTTTTATCCATAAATTTCCCATAAATTTCCCATTAATTTTCCCTCAATTTTCCCTCAATTTCCCCTCAATTTTCCCTCAATTTCCCCTCAATTTTCCCTCAATTTTCCCTCAATTTCCCTCAATTTCCCCTCAATTCCCCCTCAATTTCCCCTCGATTTCCCCTCAATTTTTCCTCAATTTCCCTCAATTTTCGATGAATTTTCCCTCCATTTTCTACGACTTTTTTTCCCTCAGTTTCCCCCCAATTTCCCCTCAATTTTCCTCAATTTCCCCTCAATTTCCCACAATTTTCCAACCCCTTTTCCCTGTTTTTTTTCCCAATTCCAGAGCCCAACTCCCACTACGTCATCTCCCTCAAAGCTTTCAACAACGCCGGCGAGGGGGTTCCGCTCTCGAAAGCGCCACCACCCGACCCCTCCCAGGTGAAAAATTCCCAGAAAAAAACCGGGAAAACATTCCCAAAAATTCCCTCCTCAATTCCCACCATCTTCAGAATCCAAAAATCCCAATTTTTTCCTTTTTTGGGATAAAAATTCCTTGTTAAAAGGGTTTTTTTGGGATTTTTACGGTGATTTTTAGTCAGAATTTCCGAGGGATTTGTGGGAATTTTTGTGGGAATTTTTGTGGGAATTTTTGTGGGAATTATTGTGGGAATTTTTGTGAATTGTGGGAGTGTGGAAGATTTTGTGAGATTTTGTGGGAGTTATTGTGGGAATTGTGGGGATTGTTGTGGGAATTTTGGTGGAGGTGTGGGAATTTTTAGTGGGAGCCCTGTGGAATTTCATGTGGGATTTTTGTGGGGTGTGGGAATTTTTTGTGGGAGATTTTTGTGGGAATTTTTGCAGGAATTTTGTGGGAATTATTGTGGGGTGTGGGAATTTTTGTGGGAATTTTTGTGGGAATTTTTGTGGGAATTTTTGTGGGAATTATTGTGGGAATTGTGGGAATTTTGTGGGAATTTTTGTGGGGTTGTGGGAGATTTTGTGGGAATTTTCTGTGAGGAATTTCTGAATGAGGAATTTTTGTGGGAATTATTGTGGGAATTGTGGGAATTTTTGTGGGAATTTTTGTGGGAATTTTTGTGGGAATTTTTGTGGGAATTTTTGTGGGAATTTTTGTGGGAATTTTTGTGGGAATTTTTGTGGGAATTGTGGGAATTTTTGTGGGAATTTTTGTGGGAATTGTGGGAATTGTTGTGGGAATTTTTGTGGGAATTTTTGTGGGAATTTTTGGGGGATTTTTTGTGGGAATTTTTGTGGGAATTCTTGTGGGAATTGTGGGGATTTTTGTGGGAATTTTTGTGGGAATTTTTGTGGGAATTTTTGTGGGAATTCTTGTGGGAATTTTTGTGGGAATTGTGAGAATTTTTGTGGGAATTCTTGTGGGAATTTTTGTGGGAATTGTGGGATTTTTTGTGGGAAATGTGGGAATTTTTGTGGGAATTTTTGTGGGAATTTTTGTGGGAATTGTGGGAAATTTTGTGGGAATTTTTGTGGGAATTTTTGTGGGAATTTTTGTGAGGATGTGGGAATTTTTGTGAGGAATTTTGTGGGGAATTTTATGGGAATTCTTGTGGGAATTGTGGGATTTTTTGTGGGAATTCTTGTGGGAATTTTTGTGGGAATTCTTGTGGGAATTGTGGGAATTTTTGTGGGAATTTTTGTGGGAATTGTGGGGTTTTTTGTGGGAATTTTTGTGGGAATTCTTGTGGGAATTCTTGTGGGAATTGTGGGAATTCTTGTGGGAATTTTTGTGGGAATTTTTGTGGGAATTGTGGGAATTTTTGTGGGAATTTTTGTGGGAATTTTTGTGGGAATTTTTGTGGGAATTTTTGTGGGAATTGTGGGAATTTTTGTGGGAATTTTTGTGGGAATTTTTGTGGGAATTGTGGGAATTTTTGTGGGAATTTTGTGGGAATTATGGGAGTGTGTGAGGAATTTTTGTGGGAATTGTGGGAATTTTTGTGGGAATTTTTGTGGGAATTATGGGAATTATTGTGGGAATTTTTGTGGGAATTGTGGGAATTTTTGTGGGAATTTTTGTGGGAATTTTTCTGGGATTTTTTGTGGGAATTTTTTGTGGGAATTTTTGTGGGAATTCTTGTGGGAATTGTGGGAATTTTTGTGGGAATTTTTGTGGGAATTGTGGGGTTTTTGTCAGGAATTTTTGTGTGAATTGTTGTGGGAATTTTTGTGGGAATTCTTGTGGCAATTGTGGGAATTTTCGTGGGATTTTTTGTGGGAATTTTTGTGGGAATTGTGGGAATTGTGGGAATTTTTGTGGGAATTTTTGTGGGAATTTTTGTGGGAATTTTTGTGGGAGTGTGGGGATTTTGTGGGAATTTTGTGGGAATTTTGTGGGATTTTTGTGGGAATTGTGGGAATTTTTGTGGGATTTTTTGTGGGAATTATTGTGGGAATTGTGGGAATTGTTTTGGGGGGAATTCCCAAAAAAAATCAAGGAAAAAATTCCCAGTTTTGGGAAAAAAATTCCAGTTTGGGGGAAAAAAATTCCAGTTTTGGGGAAAAAAATTCCAGTTTTTGGGGAAAAAAAATATTCCAGTTTTGAGGAAAAAATTCCCCTTTTGGGGAAAAAAAATCCAGTTTTAGGGAAAAAAAAATTTCAGTTTTTCAGAATTCCAGGGGGAAAAAAAATCCAAAAATATTCCAGAAAAAAATTTCAGTTTTGGGAAAAAAATTTGAGTTTGGGGGAAAAAAAATTCCAGTTTTGGGGAAAAAAAATCCCATTTTAAATCATTTTCTTTCCAAATTAAATCAAATTTTCCCCCAAATTAGATCCAAATTTCCTTAAAAAACTGAGGAATGAGGGAATTTTATCCCTAAAAATCAGAGGTGGAGGATCCAAAGGAATAAAATTCCCTATTTTTGGGTGGATTTGGGGATTTTGTCTCGTTTTTAGGTAAATTTAAAGGGGTTTGTTTCAAAATTTAATCAAATTTTTCTCTTCATCATCATCTTCATGATCCTCATTATCATCATTGTCATCTTCATTATGATCTTCATCATCTTCATCATCTTCCTCCTCCTCATCATCCTCATCATCCTCATCATCATCATCATCATCATCATCTTCATCATCTTCATTGTCATCTTCATCTTCATCCTCATCATCATCTTCATCATCATCCTCTTCCTCCTCTTCATCTTCATCCTCCTACCTCATCATCTTCATCATCATCTTCATCCTCTTCCTCATATTCATCCTCCTCCTCATCCTCATCATCCTCATCCTCATCATCTTCATCATCTTCATCCTCCTCATCGTCCTCATCTTCGTCATCTTCCTCCTCCTCCTCCTTATCATCATCATCTTCATAATCATCATCCTCCTCCTCATCATCTTCATCATCATCCTCCTTCTCCTCCTCATCCTCATCATCCTCATCTTTATCCTCATCCTCCTCACCATCATCCTCATCATCATCAACATATTCATCCTCATCATCCTCATCATCCTCCTCCTCCTCCTCATCATCATCTTTATCTTCATCCTCATCATCACCATCATCTTCATCCTCATCATCACCATCCTCCTCATCATCATCTTCATCATCATCTTCTTCATCCTCCTCCTCCTCCTCATCCTCATCATCATCATCTTCATCCTCCTCCTCCTCCTCCTCCTAATCATCATCTTCATCTTCATAATCATCATCATCATCCTCCTCATCCTCATCTTCATCCTCCTCCTCCTCATCCTCATCATCATCCTCCTCCTCCTCCTCGTCATCCCCATCCTCCTCCTCCTCATCTTCATCTTCATCCTCTTCCTCCTCCTCATCATCATCATTATCTTCATCCTCATCATCACCATCCTCCTCCTCCTTCTCCTCATCCTCTTCATCTTCATCTTCCTCCTCATCATCATCCTCATCATCTTCATCATCTTCATCCTCCTCCTCCTCATCTTCATCCTCATCATCTTCATCATCTTCATTCTCATCTTCATCTTCACCCTCCTCCTCCTCCTCCTCCTCCTCCTCCTCCTCATCATCATCCTCCTCATCATCCTCATCATCCTCATCATCTTCATCATCATCATCCTCCTCATCATCATCTTCATCTTCATAATCATCATCATCATCCTCCTCCTCCTCCTCCTCCTCCTCCTCATCTTCATCCTCATCCTCATCCTCATCTTCATCCTCATCATCCTCCTCCTCCTCCTTCTCCTCCTCCTCCTCCTCCTCATCATCATCATCCTCATCAACATCATCGTCCTCCTCCTCCTCCTCCTCCTCCTCATCCTCCTCATCTCCATTCCCATTTTTCCCGCCATCCCAGAGGATTCTCCGCCGGATCCGTGGCCGGACGCGTTGGCCACGCCCGCCCCTCCCCCCGGCCCCGGGGATGCCCCTCCCCCCATGCTGCCCCCCGTGGGGGTGCAGGCGGTGCCCGTGGGGCCCGAGGGGGTCAGGGTGACCTGGGCTGACAATTCCAGCCCCAGGAATCCCAAATCCTGGGAATCCAGGTTCTACACCGTCAGGTGGAGACCCAGCCACGCCCCCGGGGCAGGGGGAGCCAAGTACAAGGTGGGAAAATGCCGGGAATTTTGGGAATGGGGGAGGGGAAAGTGGGAAGGGGAAAGGAGGAGATGGAGGAGGAGGAGGAGGAGGAGACAATTCCAGCCCCAGGAATCCCAAATCCTGGGAATCCAGGTTTGACACCGTCAGGTGGAGACCCAGCCATGCAGGGGGAGCCAAGTACAAGGTGGGAAAATGCCGGGAATTTTGGGAATGGAGGGGGGAAAAGTGGGAAGGGGAAAGGAGGAGATGGAGGAGGAGGAGGAGGAGGAGACAATTCCAACCCCAGGAATCCCAAATCCTGGGAATCCAGGTTTGACACCGTCAGGTGGAGACCCAGCCACGCCCCCGGGGCAGGGGGAGCCAAGTACAAGGTGGGAATTTTGGGAAAAGTGGGAAAATTGGGAAGGGAAAAGGAGGAGGAGGAGGAGGAGGAGATGGAGAGATGGGAAAAAAACTATCAGGGAAAATCAGGGAAGGGAAGGGAAAGGAATGGGAAGGGAAATGGGGGAGGAGGAGGAGGAAGATGATGAGGAGGAGGAGGAGGATGAAGAAGATGAAGATGAGGATGAGGATGATGAAGATGAAGATGAGGATGAGGATGAAGATGATGATGAGGAGGAGGAGAAGGAGGATGAGGAGGAGGAGGATGAAGATGATGATGATGAGGAGGAGGAGGAGGAGGAGGAGGATGAAGATGAGGAGGAGGAGGAGGAGCAGGAGGAGGAGGAAGATGAGGAGGAGGAGGAGGAGGAGGATGAAGATGAGGAGGAGGAGGATGAAGATGAAGATGAGGATGAAGATGAGGAGGAGGAGGAGGAAGAGGAAGAGGAGGATGAAGATGATGAAGAAGAGGAAGATGAGGAGGATGATGAGGAGGATGAAGATGAGGAGGAGGATGAAGATGAGGAGGATGAGGATGATGAAGAAGAGGAGGATGAAGATGAGGAGGAGGAGGAGGAGGAGAAGGAAGAGGAGGAGGAGGAGGATGAGGAGGAGGAGGAGAAGGATGAGGGTGATGAAGATGAGGATGATGAGAAGGAGGATGAAGATGATGATGAAGATGAAGATGATGAAGATGAAGATGAGGAGGAGGAGGAGGGAAGGGAAAAGGAGGAGGAGGAGGAAGAGGAGAAGGGAAAAGGAGAAGGAGGAGGAGGAGGAGGAAAAGGAGAGATGGAAAAAAAATCAGGGAAAATCAGGGAAGGGAAGGTTTGGGAAGGTTGGGGAAGGTGTGGGAAGGTTGGGGAAGGTTGGTGATGGTTTGAGAAGGTTGGGGAAGGTTGAGGAAGGTTTGGGAAGATTTGGGAAAGTTTGGGAAGGTTGGGGAAGGTTGGTGATGGTTTGAGAAGGTTGGGGAAGGTTGGGGAAGGTTGGGGAAGGTTTGGGAAGATTGGTGATGGTTTGAGAAGGTTGGTGATGGTTTGAGAAGGTTGGTGATGGTTTGAGAAGGTTGGGAAGGTTTGGGAAGGTTGGGAAAGTTTGGGAAGGTTTGGGAAGGTTGGGAAAGTTTGGGAAGGTTTGGGAAGGGTTGGGAAGATTTGGGAAGGGTTGGGAAGGTTTGGGAAGGTTGGGGAAGGTTGGAGAAGGTTTGGGAAGGTTGGGGAAGGTTTGGGAAAATTTGGGAAGGTTGGGGAAGGTTTGGGAAGGTTGGTGATGGTTTGAGAAGGTTGGGGAAGGTTTGGGAAGGTTTGAGAAGGTTTGGGAAGGTTGGGGAAGGTTGGGGAAGGTTGGTGATGGTTTGAGAAGGTTGGGGAAGGTTTGGGAAGGTTTGAGAAGGTTTGGGAAGGTTGGGGAAGGTTGGGGAAGGTTGGTGATGGTTTGAGAAGGTTGGGGAAGGTTAGGGAAGGTTTGAGAAGGTTGGGGAAGGTTGGGGAAGGGTTGGGAAGGGAAAGTTTGGGATCTCTCCCTCTTTTCCAGTCAGCAGACACCACAGCCCTGAGCCACACGGTGCTGGGGCTGAAGGCCAACACCATGTACGAGTTCTCGGTGATGGTGACCAAGGGCCGGCGCTCCAGCACCTGGAGCATGACTGCCCACGCCACCACCCACGAGGCTGGTAGGGGGGGATAAAATGGGAAGAAAACCAAAAAAAACGGGGGAAAATGGGATTTGGGAGAGGGAAATGGCGGGAAATGGTGGTAAATGGCGGTAAATGGTTGGAAATGGCGGTGAATGAGGGGGAAATGAGGGGGAAATGGGAGGGAAGGGTGGTGGAAATGGCAGTAAATGGTGGTAAATGGCGGTAAATGGCGGTAAATGGCGGGGAATGGCGGTAAATGGCGGTAAATGGCGGGGAATGGCGGGGAATGGCAGGGAATGGCGGTAAATGGCGGGGAATGGCGGTAAATGGCGGTAAATGGCGGTGAATGGCAGGGAATGGCAGTGAATGGCGGTAAATGGCGGGGAATGGCGGTAAATGGCAGGGAATGGCGGTAAATGGCGGGGAATGGTGGTAAATGGCGGTAAATGGCAGTAAATGGCAGGGAATGGCGGTAAATGGCGGGGAATGGTGGTAAATGGCGGTAAATGGCAGTAAATGGCAGGGAATGGCGGTAAATGGCGGGGAATGGCGGTAAATGGCAGTAAATGGCAGGGAATGGCGGTAAATGGCGGGGAATGGTGGTAAATGGCGGTAAATGGCGGTAAATGGCAGTAAATGGCAGGGAATGGCGGTAAATGGCGGGGAATGGCGGTAAATGGCAGTAAATGGCAGGGAATGGCGGTAAATGATGGAATGGCGGTAAATGGCGGTAAATGGCGGTAAATGGCAGTAAATGGCAGGGAATGGCGGTAAATTGCGGGGAATGGCGGTAAATGGCGGGGAATGGCGGTAAATGGCGGGAAATGGTGGGAAATGAGGGGGAAATGGCAGGAAATGAAGGGGAAATGAGGGGGGAATGGCGGGAAATGAAGGGAAATGAGGGGGAAGGAGGGAAATGGCGGAAATGAGGAAATGAAGGGGAAATGAGGGCGAAATAAGGGGGAAATGGCTGTAAATGGCGGTAAATAGCGCTAAATGGCGGGGAATGGCGGTAAATGGTGGGAAATGAGGGGAAATGAGGGGGAAGGAGGGGAAATGGCAGGAAATGAGGGGAAATGAGGGGAAATGGCGGAAATGGGAGGAAGGGTGGGGAAATGGCGGGAAATGGCGGGAAATGAGGGGGAAATGAGGGGGAAATGAGGGGGAAATGAGGGGGAAATGGCGGGAAATGGGGGGGAATGGTGGTAAATGGCGGGGAATGGTGGGGAATGGTGGTAAATGATGGTAAATGGCGGTAAATGGCGGGGAATGGCGGGGAATGGCGGGGAATGGTGGTAAATGATGGTAAATGGCGGTAAATGGCGGTAAATGGCGGCAAATGGCGGGGAATGGCGGTAAATGGTGGGGAATGGCGGTAAATGGTGGGGAATGGCGGTAAATGGTGGGGAATGGCGGTAAATGGTGGGGAATGGCGGTAAATGGTGGGGAATGGCGGTAAATGGTGGGGAATGGCGGTAAATGGTGGGGAATGGCGGTAAATGGCGGGGAATGGCGGTAAATGGTGGTAAATGGTGGTAAATGGTGGTAAATGAGGGGGAAATGGTGGGAAATGGTGGTAAATGGTGGTAAATAGCGGTAAATGGCGGGGAATGGCGGTAAATGGTGGTAAATGGTGGGGAGTGGCGGTAAATGGCGGTAAATGGCGGGGAATGGCGGTAAATGGTGGGAAATGAGGGGAAAATGGCGGGAAATGAGGGGGGAATGAGGGGGGAAGGAGAGGGAAATGAGGGGAAATGGTGGGAGAGGGAAGGAGGAGGAGGGGATGATGAGGTAGAGGGGGGAAGGGGGATGATGAGGGGGGATTTGGGGGAAAAATTGGGTGGGAAATGGAAATTTGGTGGCGAAAAATGGGATTTTGGTGGCAAAAAAGGCGATTTTAGGGTAAAATCTTTAAAAAATACGATTTTTTCGAGGGGTAACGAGAAGAAGGCCGGTCAATAATTTGATATTAATTTGATTTTTTTCCCATTTGTTTTTAATTCCCACTGGGGCAGCTCCGGGCTCGGCCCCCAAGGACGTGACGGTGATCGGGAGGGAGGGGAGGGGGAGGTCGGTGACGATCAGTTGGCAACCGCCGCTGGAAGCCAACGGCAAAATCATCGGTAAATGCAATTTACAGGGCAATTTACCGCCCCTCCCCCACATTTATTTATTCGTTTGATTTATTGTTAGTTACTTATTAGTTATTAATATTTTTATGTTTGATTAATATAATTGATACATGAATATATGATGTACATTTTATTAATGGTAAATATTAAATTATTAAATATTAAATATTAAATATTAAATATTAAATAGTTTATGTTTTCTTTATTTTATTTGTATTTTTATTTAAAGATTAAATATGACAAATTATTACGAAATATTACAAATGAAATGTTAAAATTTATTTGTATTTTTAGAGTTTATTTTTATATGAATATTATCTTTATATCTATTATTTATATTTTCATATTTTATGTTGTATTATTATATTTTATTTTTATATTTTTATATTTTTATATTTTTATATTTTTATGTTTTATATTTTCATATTTTTGTATTTTTCTATTTTTGTATTTTTATATTTAATCTTTATTTTCTATTTAATCTTTATTTTCTATTTAACATTTATTTTCTATTTATTTATTACTATTTTTATTATTATTATTTATTTCATGGATATTATTATTAATATTAACTAATATTACATTAATTATATAATATATAATATAATATATTAGTTAATAGATATATTAATATAAAATTTATATTAATCATTAATGTATCTTAATAATAATAATAAGAAGAAATTAATACATTAAATTAATAAAACAATAATAGATTAAAATAATATAATAAAATAAATAAAATAATATGATAAAATATTATAAAAAATAAAAATTATGATAAATATAATAAAATATTTCTAGAAATAGAATAAAATATTTATAAAAATTAATATAATAAAATAAATAAAAAACAATAATAAATAAAATAATTATAATAATTCATTCATAAATTAATAAATAATAATAAATTAATTAATTTATAAATTAAATAATAATGAATTAATTAATAAACAATAATGAAAATTAATTTATCAATTAATAAATAATAAATTAATTAATTTATTAATTAAGAAATGATAATAATTAATTCATAAATTAATGAATAGTAATGAATTAACTAAATTAATAATAAATAATAATAAATAAATAACGATAAATAAATAATAAATAATAAATAATAAATAAATAATACTAAATTACTAATAAATAATACTAAATTAATAATAATAAATAATACTAAATTAATAATAAATAAATAATAAAAAATAATAAATTAATAATAAATAATCGTAAATTAATAATAATAAATAATACTAAATTGATAATAAATGAATAATAATAAATAAATAATAAATAATAATAAAATAATAATAAATAATAATAAATAATAATAAATTAATAATAAATTAATAATAATAAATAATCCTAAATAAACAATAAATAATAATAAATAAATAATAATAAATTAATAATAAATAATACTAAATTAATAATAATAAATAATACTAAATTAATAATAAATAATAATAAATAAATAATAATAAATTAATAATAAATAATACTAAATTAATAATAATAAATAATAATAAATTAATAATTAAATAATAATAAACTAATAATTAATAAATAAATAATATATAAATAATAATAAATTAATAATTAATAATAAATTAATAATAATTAATGATAAATAAATAAATTTATAAATTAACAAATAACAGTTAATTAATGCCTTCATTGCCAGCCTACCAGCTGTTGTACACGTCAGACCGTTCGTCCCCGCTGGCCTCGTGGTCGATGGAATCGGTGCCCGGCGATCGCCTCACGCTCCAGCTCCCCCTCCAATCAGACACCATTTACCACTTCCGCCTCCAGGCTCGCAATTCCAAAGGGCTCGGACCCCTCTCCGACCCCGGCTGGTTCCGCACCCCAAAAGGTTCCCGAGGCTGGGGGAGGGGCGGAAATTTACGGAGGGTAAATTACGGTAAATTGGATCCCGAATTGATGAATCGGTCGATTGATTTGCAGCGGAACAGCCCGATAAAATGGCCAACGATCAAGGTGAGCTTTCGCTAATTAATAATTTAATAATTAATAATTTAGCCGATGTTTTGATGCTTTCATTCATTATTTACTTCTTCCTTCGTTTAATTATTTATTAATTTATTATTTATTAATTTATTATTTATTAATTCATTATTTATTAATTTATTATTTATTAATAATTTATTATTTATTAATTTATTATTCATTATTTACTTCTTCATTTATTTAATTATTTATTAATTATTATTATTTATTAATTTATTATTTATTAATAATCTATTATTTTTTATTTACAATACTCTGTTATTTTTAATTATTTATTAATAATCTATTATTTATTAATTACAATACTTTATTATTTTTAAATTATTTATTTAATTTATTATTTATTGATTACAATAATTTATTAATTTATTAATTGTGTATTTAATTTATTATTTAGTAGTAATTTGTTTAATTATTTATTTCTCTCTTCTTGCTTTGATTTGATTTGATTTAAGTTTAGTTAATTGATTTCTTTATTATTTCTTTATTATTTTAATATTTGCTCATTTTATTCTCTTAATAATACAGCTAATACTTCTATTATTACATGTATTGATATATAAATATATATTTATATCTGATATATAATTATTTATGACATAATACTATATTTAATAATTAGTAATAATAATAGCAATATAATTATAATATTATAATAGCAATAATAATATAGTATATATAATTATAATATTATATTACTATTATTTAATACTATTATTACTATAATAATAATATCATAATAGTAATAATAATTATAATTGTTACTTGCTAATTATTTATTCCATTATGATAATTATGACAGCAAGTCATCTAATTTTCTAATAGTAACAATTCACCGAATTCATTAATAATTAATTCAGCATCTAATTAATAATTCATTTCATTATGATAATTATAATAGCAAGTCATCTAATTTTCTAATAATAATTCACTGAATTCATTAATATTTAATTAAGCATCTAATTAATAATCCATCATTCGCATAATTCAATTATGAATTAACAATTCATCCACTATTTTGATCATTTAATTTATGTTTATTCCTGCAATCTTTATTTATTATTAATTATAATATATAACATTTATATTATTTTATATTATTTTATAAATTCATAATATATATCATATATCATAATTTTATTAAAATAAGTCATCAAATCATTAATAATTAATTAATTAATAATGCATCAAAATAAGAATTCTTCATTGATAACTCACTAATCATTAATAATTCATCAAATATTTTAATTTGTACTTATTATTTATGTTTTCTCCTTTATTTTAGACCAGATGGAATAAGTATCAGTCATTTATTTTATCCTAATAATCCATCCAATTCATTAATAACAATTATTAACAATGCATCACATTAAGAATTCATCAGCTAATTAATAATTCCTCATTCACCAATAATTCATCCAATACTTTGATTTTAATATTTCTTTCTCTGATTCTTTTAATGCCTAATTCATCAACAATCCATCAATTCATCAAATTATTAATGAATAATTCATTTAAAAAATGCTGGTTTTTCCCAGTGGGAACGTGCTGATTAAATGACAATTTTTGGGGTGGATTCCAAAGTGGTTTTTCCAGGTTTTTTGGTGGTTTTTCCATGGAATTTTCCTTCCCTCAGGTCGGCAGGTGGATGGTTCCTATTGGCCTTTGGACCCCAACCTCATCGACCGCAGCAGCATCAACGGTAAATTCCAGAGATGGAGGGAGGGGGAATTTTGGGAATCATCGATGGAGAGTTCTGGATGATTCCACCCCTCGTGTCCCTTTGCTGTCCCCGCAGACGCCGCCGTGGGTCCCGCTCGTTCCCGCCCGGGGGGTGTCGATGGTGTCGATGGTGTCGATGGTGTCGGTGCCGGTGTCGATGGTGTCGATGGTGTCGATGGTGTCGGTGCCGGTGTTGGTGGTGCCGGTGCCGCCCCCCCGGCGCTGTTGGTGGTGGGCGGGGCCGGGGCTCTGGTGGCGCTGCTGGCGGTGGCGGCGGGAGCCGCCCTGCTCTGCTCGAGACGCGCGGCCAGGAGGCACCGCAAGTGAGTGCAGCAATTTACGTCAATTTACGTCAATTTACGTCAATTTACTGCAATTTACTGCAATTTACTGCAATTTACTGCACTTTAATTTAATTTAATTTAATTTATTTAATAAGATGGATCATTAATTTAATCCTATCTTTTGAATTTAATTTAATTTAATGAATTTAATAATATGGATCATTAATTTGATCCTATCTTTCGAATTTCATTGAATTGAATTAAATTAATAATATGGATCATTAATTTAATCCTAGCTTTTGAATTTCTTTTAATTGAATGAATTTAATAATATGGATCATTATTTTAATCCGATCTTTTCAATTTACTTTAATTTAATTTATTTAATGATATGGATCATTAATTTAATCCTAGATTTTGAATTTCATTGAATTGAATGAATTTAATAATATGGATCATTATTCTAATCCTATCTTTTTAATTTACTTTAATGAATTTAATTCATTTAATAATATGGATCATTAATTTAATCCTAGCTTTTGAATTTCATTGAATTGAATGAATTTAATAATATGGATCATTAATTTAATCCTATCTTTTGAATTTAATTTCATTTCATTAATTTAATAATATGGATTATTAATTTGATCCGATCTTTTCAATTTACTTTAATTTAATGAATTTAATAATACGGATCATTATTTTAATCCTATTATTTTAATTTAATTGAATTGAAATTATTTTAATTTAATTTAATTTAATTTAATTGAAATGAATATAATTTAATTTAATTTAATTGAAATTATTTTGATTTAATTTAATTTAATTTAATTGAAATTATTTTAATTGAATTGAATTGAATTGAAATTATTTTATTTTAATTGAATTGAATAGAAATTATTTTATTTTAATTGATTTGAATTGAAATTAATATCTTTTAATTTAATTTAATTGAAATTATTTTATTTTAATTTAATTTAATTGAAATTAATATCTATTAATTTAATTTAATTGACATTATTTTAATTAAATTTAATTTAATTGAAATGAATATATTTTAATTAAATTTAATTGAAATTACTTTAATTGAATTGAATTGAAATTATTATAATTTAATTTGATTGAAATTATTTTAATTTAATTTAATTTAATTTAATTGAAATTAATATCTTTTAATTTAATTTAAGTGAAATTATTTTAATTTAATTTAATTTACTTGAAATTATTTTATTTTAATTGAATTTGATTGAAATTATTTTAATTTAATTTAATTTAATTTAAATGAATATCTTTTAATTTAATTTAATTTTAATTATTTGAATTGAATTGAATTGAATTGAATTGAAATTATTTGATTTTAATTTAATTTAATTCAATCCCATTCACTTGAATTTTTTCTTTTCTCCCAAATCCCAACATTCCCAAATTTTTTTCCCTTTCATTCCCGACAGAAAACGCAAAGGCAACCCCAAAGATCTCCACCCTCCCGACCTTTGGATCCACCACGAGGAGCTGGAGCTGAAAAACGTGGACAAAGCATCGACCAAACCATCGACCAAACCATCGACCAAACCATCGACAGCGGAGCCGCCCCCAAACGATTCCCAAATCCAGGAGATTCCCACGGAAAATAAAAACAACGGCCAGGGGGGTGAGGGGGGAGGGGGGAAAAGTGGGAATTGTCAGGGGGAATTTACCCGGCTGGGGGTTGTCGATGGGGAATTTACACGGGAATTTACACCGGGAATTTTTTAATGGATTTTTAATTGGGATTTTTAATGGGGATTTTTAATTGGGAGTTTTAATTGGGGATTTTTAATTGGGATTTTTAATGGGAATTTTTAATGGGAATTTTTAATGGGATTTTTAATGGGGATTTTTAATGGGAATTTTTAATGGGATTTTTAATGGGGATTTTTAATTGGGATTTTTAATGGGATTTTTTAATGGGGATTTTTAATTGGGATTTTTAATGGGGATTTTTAATGGGGATTTTTAATGGGAATTTTTAATGGGGATTTTTAATGGGGATTTTTAATTGGGATTTTTAATGGGGATTTTTAATGGGGATTTTTAATTGGGGAATTTTTAATGGGAATTTTTAATGGGGATTTTTAATTGGGGAGTTTTTAATTGGGATTTTTAATGGGGATTTTTAATTGGGATTTTTAATGGGAATTTTTAATGGGATTTTTAATTGGGATTTTTAATGGGGAATTTTTAATGGGGAATTTTTAATGGGGGATTTTTAATGGGAATTTTTAATGGGGGAATTTTTAATGGGAATTTTTAATTGGGGATTTTTAATGGGGGAATTTTTAAT